GTGGGGTGGGGTGGGGTGGGGTGGGGTGGGGTGGGGTGGGGTGGGTGAGTGAGTGAGTGAGTGAAGTACGTTTTACCATGTTTTACCAAGAGGGGCAAGATTTGGAATCAATTGCAGCTTTGTTTCTATAGTGTGCAGTTATTCATTCATAGGTCGAAAATGCAGGGCCGGCCTTGTAACGTTTAGAGTCCTTGGTCACCATTAAAAAATGATGTTCTGCCCAAGTCTGACACCACAAGACCTTTGCTGCAAAGAAAACCTTCTCACAGGCTCGCTCAGCACTCCTTGCACAGCAGTCTCGCAGGACATGTTCTTCCGAAGGTGGCCTCCCTTTGCTAGAGCAGAATCAATTGTGCAATTGATGACCCGTATTTCCAGGTAATCTTTTGAGTGGCACGAATCTGCTTAAAAACTTGAGAAGGCAGGCTCTTAATGATCAGCAAGTATCAGACAGTATCAGCAGGACACCACCGTTGCAAACTGTTGGGCGAGAGATGCTGGGCAGCTTGGACTAGGAGCACCTGGTGGCCTGAGGGAAGTCGCCCAGTGCAAAGTGCCAAGCAGCGCAGCAAAGGTGGAGTGGGGAACAGAAGAGACCAGGGACCAATAAGGACAAATAAAGACCCAGAACTTGCAGCAACAAATCTTTACGTTCCTTGGCTGGGAAATGCAAAGAGAAAGGACATGGACTTGCTATGACTTGATTATCCTGCAACTTCAGATCTTTTGTCGAGATGATACTTAGGATTGAGTTTAGTTTGTCGACTCGTAGATGTTTGCATGAGTCAATGAGTGGTGACTCGATGGTAAAGTACTTAAGTGTCACGCTGTTTAATCGAGCAAAAAGCATGCGCTGGCAGACGGACAGTCGGATCAAGTCTTCATGCTGGCCTCAAGATATGCGTTGCGTGCCAGGATTCGTACAAAGACCTACACGGAAAGGCGCAGCGGAGCACAAGGGCCTGGAATATTCTGTGCAGTGGATGTCAATGTCTCATGATTTAGGATCATGGTTGCGCGCAAAAAGAAACCGGTCAATACCCCATAGAGCTAGAACACTTGGTAGAGTTTGATGTCTTTTCTACGCTTTTCTACACTTCAGGTGCTGGTGGTTGTCCAACATTGTGCCGGGTTTGTTGCAGCAATCGATTCAGGATCCCTTGTGCTTCTTTGTTCGATTCAACCGCCAATACATGATGGGAAAGTGCGGTAAACTATTTTGCCAAAAGAAGTATTATATAAAGCATGTGTTTGTCGGGCCGAAGCTTGCGAATTCATTCGCCACCCAGCCTTCCGTGTGGCGGCGTTCATAGAGTGCCTGGTGAAGCTGGCACTGCACCGATTGGGATCCAAAGGTGCCTGGGGTTGCCATTTGTTGTTCTTTGAATCCAGTTTGAGTTCTTTATTTGATATGTATTCGTGAAATAAAAGCTATTCGAGCTCGGCACATTAGGACATCATGAGCAAGTTTTGCAGGCAACTTGTGTGTCTTTTTGGTACTCAACGTACTGTACTCAATGGATGTTTGTTCAGTACAACTTGCTTGTTGATTTAACTCTATTAAACCTCGCGGTTACTGAACTTGTCACTAGAGCTGTGAGGTCAGCTGGAGCTGCAACGGGGAGCACCGACCTGGTGGAAATGCACTTGGCTGCTGAACCTCCTAGGCATCCGCTTCATGGATTCTCGTAGCACTCTTGCCGGCAGAGGCATGCTTGGCAGGCCTTTTGTTTGTCTAAGACAGGATGAAAGAACCAAAATGTGCATTGTGGGGTTGGATAATTGGTGAAGGGGTCTTATTGTGTTGTGGTGTGTGCAAGAATTGTTTGACCACCCAGGAAAGTGTCAAGGACAAAGAGCACCACGAGATTCTATGGAAGTTGGCTGCGCAGGCGCTTCAAGAAAGAATCGAAAAGGTAAGTAAGGAGAGGATTTGACCAGTCCAGGCAACTGTCACTTTAAATGCCGTGCATCCGTCAAACAATTTGCTTGCTATGCTGTCCATTTTTGAGTTACGATTATAAGTTACAATTAGCTCAAAGGCAGCTCCTTTTGAAGGGCCGGTTGATTTTGCAGAAGTTCGCAAAACTCTGTAGCACAATAGGGGACGCACAAAAACGATCAACTTTGTGTGTGTGTGCGGTTTGTTTGTGTGACTTGCAACACTTCTATGTTGGGAGAGGTTTACCAACGTGATGCGTGACTTTCTTGAATTATTAGTATTTAGTATTATCTAAAACAATTGCTGTGGTGGAGAGTTGTGGCCGTGTGTGAGTGTGCCGAGAACGATAACTGGAAGGATAACCTAACGATAGCCCGGAATTGCACGGGGATACCAGTTCCCCAATTATAGGCCCCAACGACTTGTTCAAGAGCCCTTTTGCAGGGGCATTCTAGGAGCAACATGCAAACACTCTAAAACGGTACTCACTAAATCGCTCGCACAGAGCATGCGACAAATTTTGACCGTGGCTCCTGTCCTAAGTACAGCGAGCTACTTGGCTGCTTTCATGGTCTCAGTGAGTCCAAGTATCTTCAAATACAAGAATTGTTGCATACATGTGCCACATGTGCTCGGGAACTGAGCCCCTGATGCAAAACTGTTTAGGGTCCAACACGCCATTTGCTTGAGGAAAAACCAGCGGCCAAGACGAAGGACCCAGAGCTGTGCGTACTTTTCATGCACTGAAGGATGCACCCATCGCTAGTAGGTTGGAGGCCATTGCTAGTACTGGTAGGTTGGATGCCATGGCTAGTAGGTTGGAGGCCATCGCTAAACTTTGGAAACAGCCATGAGCACTTTAATTGCTTTTTAAGGCATTGGTTTGAAAGCTTGACACAATGCTTGGACGCGTTCCCAGACTTTGCGCTTCAATATTTGTGTCGGCTATTGTTAGAAGACGCTGAGGACCAGCCAGAACATGTTTGTCTAGAACTCCTAATAACTGCTTCCTCTAGAAGGTTGAAGACTGCTGGCAGGACTTGGATTTTTGGTGGTATCGAATGTACCAAAGTGACAGACCTCAATTTCTGCCGTCGAGCTGACTTGTCATTAAGGAATCAGTCAATGAACTTTATGCCATGATGTTCAAGAATGCTGTACCAGTCTACGTTCCAAAGCCACCCAAGCAATACTGTAGGCAATCTTAGGCAGATAGCATAGCCCAAGTAGCTCACTTGGGCGTCCGAAGTTTTTTTAAGTTTTTGGAGATGTCCCATTGTGCCAGGCCTTTGCAGCGTTTAGTGAGAAGCATTCCCGACCTTTTCCACCCAACTAAAGCTGAGGCTCATCTTCCTTCCATTCAATCAAGCAAACAAGAGCTTTGGAACGTCTTCTTGAAAGCACGTAAAGCATGAACCACTAACATTCGGCAATAGATGCATCGCCTGCAAGCGACTGTGTGCAAGAAAATCAGATTGTTCCCTTGTCCGAAGGCTCCGATTCTGGTGCCAGAAGATCGCAAAGGCATTTGCCCTGAGTGCCAGGCACGTATAGGGTCAGGGTGCAGCCCAGTTGTGCATGCCACGCGTCTTCACCTTTGACAGTCCTTGACACAAAGTAAAGACCTTGGACAGAAACAGATTAGTTACAGGATTTCGGGTTTCTGAACGAGGACAGTAAAGAAATTACCGCACGACAGAAACTGAGCTATGCCAAGTTGGGATGTGAGGCACAGGTTCCAAGTTGCTCCAAGGCCCGACCTGCACTGTGATGGAACGTAATTGTGCGTGCAAAGGAGGGAAGAAGCCCGAGTGGATGGGGAACTCCTGGCTGCCTCTCTTGTATCTTGGCAACATCTTGTATGTATTACTTGGCAACGTACTTGGCTGGAACCGCAGAGGGACCCAAAGATCTTGGTCAGAAATTCGATGGACAACATTCTGCTCCCAGGCTCAGAGATTGAGTCCTTTTGCTTGCCTTTCGACCAGCACCTTTTTGCGAACCTCGTGAAGATTCCAAATTTTCATGCAGCAGCGAACCCTGGCCAGAAGGAAAATTGCAATTCCTCACATAATTGCACAAATGATCAATTTAAAATGTATTCAACGTGTCGATGTGAAAACTGTTGGAGTACTGACAAGGTTCAGACAGGGCCCAAGCACCAAACCACAGCGCATTTGGAAAGAGGAAAGGTCAGAAAGGTTCTAGGAATCTAAAGCTAGCTACCCTAAATAGAAAAGAAAAGGCAAGAAATACGGACATAAAAGAAAAGAACATCTAAAGAATATAAGGAAAGACACGAAAGACACTACGATAGATGCAGCACATGGCTGGCTAGTCTTTTGTCAAACGTCTTGCTGAGGAACTCGGAGGTCTCAGAGGACATGTCCTGTTGGAGCCCAACAAGCGAGCCATGAGCTCATGAGGAGCACAGACTTCAACAGGTTGAATTGTCGTGCTACTGTGCTACTGTGCCACCGCACTACAATGCTACCAGCGACTACCGGCTATTGTCATGGCGAAAGGTATCATATCTCATTGAGCCATACACTTTGCCGTACACTGTACACTTTGGTCAGCAAATCAGAAGGATCTTAAAAGATCAGAGACCTTCTCGCAGCTGCTTCTAGAAGCCTATATAAATGATCTTCGACCGAGGCTCAATGATGAGAGCACGAATCTCAGGGTGGAGTGGAAAGTACAATCCAAGAACAAAAAACTGGTCAGACTTTCAAACTTTCTTTCATTAAATTAAGTAGTAGAATTGATAGATTCAGAACTGTATCCTTGTTTGTGCCGTTTGAGGCGGAAACTTTCGACTTCCCTTTGCGGCAGAAGAGGTTGCGCAATTGGGGGTCATCACGTGAGCAGTCTGATGCGGCTGAGTGTGACCGACTGGATCTTGCGTTGATGTTGCAACCGTTAGGCTGAACCCGACATCCTTCGGATAGTTGTTTGTGTCATTTTGTCTTCATGACTCATGACAAAATGAGCACTATCAACCCGTGCGCACAGGCAGCAACCGCTTATTCAGATTCATTCGCAAGCAAGATTTGGTCGCTGCATGCACATGACCAAGAGGTTGAGCAACGTAGTCAGGGCATTGGCGTGGTTCAAGATTCGTGTGCCATTAGCGAGTCTTTATTCAGAAGAGAACAGCATTGCTTCACACAATTTGAGCGCTGGTGCACAAAAGCCATTTTGGTGAGTGGCGAGGAACTTTTTTCATGAGCGCCTCTCTGGCGGCGACGGCCAAAGAAAGCTGCCGCCTGCTGCTGGCTTTGATCATGCAGCAACCACATTTTCAAAGATTCCATGCTGTGTGCAGACCAGGGGAGAATCCAAGTAGACTCATCGTGCATCCTCACAACTGCATCACTTGGATCAAATCTCTGGCTGCTTGCTTGGGGTTTTTGCATGGGACTCTCGACGAAAGCCACATGGCAATGCGCTAACATCAAACTGTTTGATTGAGCATCCATTCTGTTTGGTTTGTAACAAACGCCGCTGCCTTCTGTGGCTTTTGCTTTCTAGGTCCGTGCAGTAGGAGGTCGGTTTCACTGATTCAGCAATTCTATATACAGACGATTTGTGCACAGGCTTAGCCTTGCAAATACATAATTTTATATATATATAGAATTATTTATAAATATGTAAATTTAGAATTACTTATATTACAATATTTATAAAATTGTTTTAATATATGTATATATTACGTCTTTTGAATTTTGAAAGATAGATATGATGAATAATGTTTATATGAAATATATATTATAAAAATTATTTGTTCTAAAATATATTTATATTTTCTTGAAATTTATATATAGAATATATATTTATTATTGTTATGTATATAATATAATTTAATATATTTAAGAATTATATGAATTTTGTATTTATATATAATAATTGGATGATATATATTTTTTTTATGTTAATATATGAAATTATTTAATCTCTTATTTTATTTTTTTAATAAATATTTATTATATTTAATAAATATCTATTTTGAATGTATTTTTTTTAATATGATTTAATTTGTTAATTAATTTATTTTTTTCTTAATTTTGATATAATTTAAATGTATAATGATTATGTTATTTTTTTGGATAATAATATGGTGTTTTAAAATCGATAATTGAAAAAAAAGATATATATTGGATATAGGAAAAATGATGTTTTTGGTTATAATATATTGTTGTATTTGGATATGGGAATTGATCGAAAATCCCGTGTAAGGAGTTTTATATAAAACAGCTTTGTAGATGTTGTTAAAACCATTCGCGAAAGATTCGCGATGAGGTTCGCGAAAATATCTTTTTTTTTTTTTTTTCGCGAAAGATTTATCGAAGGTTATCGCTTTCATTGTTTTCCTTTCTACCGGATTGACAAAGAATAGAAACCCAAGGCAATCCTCCGGCAGAGCTAGTGGGCGGAAGTGTCCCCATATGTCATAGACTAACGAACTGAAGCCTTAACATTTCCGTGTCGAGTCCTGGCAGTACGTAAAGGATTCTCCGCTTCCTGTCCCCACTGCCACAGGCTAGCAATCTGATGAGGAGGCAACGACCTGCAGCTGCTTTGACGGGCTGCGCAGATGTTTGCAAATGTTACGCTTTCCTAGGGAAAGCACCAATGAAATTTCGCGAATGTGCCGCTAAAGTCTAGGTTCCCAGCTTGAGGTCCCCAACATTCCCTAGGCTGTATCACCCTGTGTTGGACCCTGTGTTGGTAGTTGGCACGAGGATTGGGTTGAGTTGTGCCTGACTTTATTTGGCACAATTGTCGAACAGATGCTGCAAGTGATCCTGAGTAGCTGTTGAAACGTTCAACCATCTACTGGGGTCATGCTGCAGGATCTCTCTCCCTATTTTGGGATATTATGATATGTTCCGGCTCCTGTTGGCTAGACATGGTTGTAGGACCATGCTTCGCGATGAGGCCGCGAAAGATATCTTTTTTTCCCGCGATGAATGGCCATTCCAGGATAAAAGAATATTGATCAACCACATATTTGTTTGAATAAAAGCGATAGACATATTTATTTTCTTTTTTTCCTTTATTGTCCGAAGATTTTGTTTTAATAAATTATTATTCGAATAATATAAACGAATAATATAAACGAATGATAACCTAAATTTTACGATAAATATTCTATAATTTTATTTCTCCATAATTACGAATAATATTTGTTTATGGATCGAATTAATAATAATGCGGAATGGTAACAATTACGTACGATTAACACGATTATATATATTTTTTATTAGGCCGAGACCCGTATAAAATTATAAGGATTAATTTTCCATTACGAATAACGTTGTTACCGCTTCCGTAAGGAAAATAAGATAAGGCATTTAAATATTTTTGTTCACAAACCTAATAAATGCCTTAAATAAATATCCGCTCAAAATTATTATTTCATCTGTCTTAAATATAAAATAATTTGCTAAAGCGATAGAGTTCCACAAAAATTCAAAAAATATATAATGTGTCCCATTTACGACAATCTTTAATAAAAAATGAAAGAATAATATATTATAAAATGAATACTATAATGATTATATTAATTTTCTTTAATTTTCATGCCACAAAAATTACATTATAAACATCCCATAAATATTTTAATAAAAGATTTTAATTCTTTAATCAAATAAATATCTAAATCAATCTATAAATATATTAATTCGTATATGCAATTGCATATCTAATTCCGTCCTCCATTATTAATTATTCCATAAAATATTCTACCACTAGCTCAATGCCATGCCAACATAATACGCGAAAATCCCCAATCAAATTCAAAAAGATATTTTTTCTTTAAACATTTATATAATAAATACATCCCCAATTAAAAACATATCAATTGTTATATTAATAAATATAAATATTATACTTAATTACAACCAAAAAACCGAGAAAATATAATTATCCTCGCCTCCTACCCTCCTTATCCAAAATTATATCAAACAACCTTAACCAATCAATCAACCGCAAATATTAAAAAAATCAATTACGCACAATTAATAAAGAGAAATAAATTTTAAAAAAAAATTATCAATAAAATAAAAATCGAAATTAAATATATACGATACTTACATAAATCATACGCCAAAAAATCCATTATCAATATTCTAAAAATTTTTTAATTTAAAAATCCTTATTATCAATCTACTTTAACACTTGCCTATTAACGTAAAATAACCGTCGATATAGCACGATTTCGGAAAGAAATATTAAAAAAAACCTTATATAATTTATTATATGTAAAAAACCTTACGCATAACAAAATTTTATTTACGCCAACCCTCCTTATATAAATTCTCCAAAAAAAAATATTCAAACGCACAACCACTTCAAAGCCAACATATAAAGATCTTTATATTATAATCTTTATATAATCCAATACCACAATAAAAACCAAGATGCATAAATCAAATACTATATCATTCCTTTTTCAATCGCATTATAATTCTTAAATATAAAATCTTAAAATATATAAATATTATACATTTATTTTAAAAATACGACGCCCTAAAGGTGGGTGTTTTTTCCAATATTTTTTACGTTTTTTCTATAATTTTAAATAGAATTTCTACATTTTCGTTACATTCACCCATCTAGTATATATTATGTGTGCCCATAGCCTGCTGCCCTTTGCCATAATCTTATCAATAGATTTCCTTATCAAGCTTTTAAACACATAGCTAAAGTCTGTATCTATCAATTGCATCATAACTATCATCTTTGGAGGAATGATAGACTATAATTGACGGGGTGCATACATCATCTTGTATGTATCATCGCTAAATGAAACAGCAAAACAATCCCTCTAATAGATGGATGCTAAATATATCCTCCCTTGCTTTGCAATGACCCATGACATAATGATATTATCCTAATTGGAGGATGGTTGGGAATAAACATCATAGTGCTCCAACAAATGAGGATGATCCCTTCTGATCTTGATCCATTGCTCCAATGCCCTCCTGGCACTCTCTCCCTTCCTATGCAGCTTGATGTCTCCCAAATCATTCATCCTCAATCCACCTGCCTTTGTAATCAATGTTGTCCAATCTTGCATGTTGCCCAGATACTATGAGCGCCCCCTTGCCCACATGTCCAATGGGATCCTCATCAGGGTTGAAGAAATTGCTCACCAGCTAATGGGCCTCAAAGGTAATCCTCATCTTCTCAGTTGTTGAGTCCATCATGATAGTCAAATGAGCTCTTCCCCCACCCTTTTGATTCTGAATGGTCACCAATTGCCAATCTTGCTTCTTCTGATCATCCAATGCCTCAAGGTCCTTATTGGGTTCCTATCTCATGGGCTTGTTGGTTCAATTCATTTTGAAGGTCCGTCCCAATCTTTATAATGGTCGCCATGTGTCCTGGTCTCGTGGCCTACAAATACAATCTTAGTTAATCCATTTTCACCCATATAGGAACCTAATCTGAAAATCCAAACATACATTCAGGCTTTGCCACAAATTCCTTCACATCTTCATGCCCCATGGACACAAGGCTCATGATATAATCATGGTGGTTCCATGCCAATTCTGCTGAAATCTGCTGTTCCTCAATGCTCAAGGGCGCCAACGCATTTGGAATCTATGTTTGGCACCACTAGCATCCATAATGCTTATACCCCTCTTTGATGCTCTTCATTTGGGATTCAGCCCTTTGCAATTGATTGATACAAAGAATTTTCTAGGGCCCATCTTCCAACTCATCCCTTTTCTCCTCAAGCTTGACTTTCTCCACTGATAGCAACTGAAAATATTTCCATGCAAGATCCATCTTCTGCACCCCATGTCCATAACTCCTTTCCCTTTCCAACCATGTCTTAACCTCACCAACCAAATGGGGGAATTATTACTTGGCACACCCACCTAACGCCCTGACTTTCATGTGGTTTCCACCTAATGCTTTCTTCCCTTTGCTCAATCCACTCCTTTGCGTTCTCTCATCTGCTGTTGTGCTTTGCTAATGCTTCAGAATCTCTGTCTCCCATTTGGATCTTTCAGCATAAATCCCCTTCAACACATGAGATTTCATCAAGATTGTCCTATTCAATTTCCTTGCGCATTTTCCTTTCTAATGCGTCAGTATGCTCTCCATTTCGGGGGGAGGTCGACCAAAAAAAAGAAAAGTTGGCGCTGCCTCAAATCAAGGCCACCTTTCTTTTTTTGGCGACTCCCCCCCTCTGGGAAACTCTGTGCGGTCCATGTCTACGACGCTAGCGGCGATGTCTATGCGATGTCTGCTACTATGATGTAACGCGTGATATGACAATATCCTCCTACATTTTATCCTTAAATAAGAATACCTCCAGCGCATAGATAGTAAATTCGTAAGAAAACTAGAACATTAGGAAAACAGACACCTCCACAACGTCGTGTTCTGCTTACTTTATATGCCAATATATTATTCTATTTATAATTCAGAAAAATTCATTAAACAACGATATAAATCCCACAAAAAAACGATAATACAATATATTATATTAATCACAATTTAGAAAAATTCATTAAACAACGATATAAACCCCACCCTTTGCACTTCTAGTCAACGCAGCTGCTAATTTGGTATCCAAAGTGGTGAATTTACCAAGATTGGACAAACGTTCTTCCAGAACACTTCTTTCATCAACAGTGTTGTGCACCTCCATCAACCAGTCCCATGCTGCGTCGGGTTTGTCTAAACATGATTTGATTTCATCTCTCACATGATGTTTCCACTGCCGATAGGTTTCAGGGGTTGGCATGTCGTTCAACTTAATGTGATCTGCCTCCTTGACCTTTGGCTTCTCATCCGAATCCCTTTGAGTGAGTGCCAGTGACAGTGGCCTCTGGCACATTAGGTCCAAACAACCCACTCAAACGTGCACTAGCCTCTGCTGCAATGGTCTCAAATGTATCTTTCTTTTCTTGCTCGCCTTGCCTAGGCGTCATCATTGGCGAAACAATTAAGCTCGTTGGAACATACTCTTGATCGGCGGTATCTTTGTTTTCGGCCCTCATGTCATCGATGATTTGTTGTAGGCTATAATTCTCATTTTCTGCCTCTCTCAAATCACGCTGAAGTTTAAGCTCACGCTCATCGAACTCTGCACGAAGTTTCACTACACCTTGTTCAGCACCAGTTGTGATAGCGTTCACTGTCTGCTGACATTCATGCATGAGTTGCGTGCGCAAAGAATCCATCTCGGCTTTCTTTGCTTCTGCTTCCAATGCCTTATCATTCTCTAACTTGAAAATGCGCGCTTTTGCAGTGCTAAGCTCTGCTTGTAGCTTGTCATAGCTAGATTGGGCCTGTTGTTTCACCGAACTAAGCTGATCATGGTGTTTGCCTTCTACCTCAAGGATCGCCTGGTGGAACTTGGCTTTTACCGTTTCCATCCATTGCGCTAATACCTCCTTGTGCCTTCGTTCAGCCTCACCTCATTACCGTTGTACACTTGCTGAATGTTTTGCGGCGCAAACTGAAAGTACGCCGTCACCGGAGCTGAACCCATGGGATCGTCTAGATCTACAGTGGGCTCAGTCACGAGACCGGCTGGCACAGCAACCGGTGATGTGGCATTACCAGGAGTAGCGAGAGCGTCCATGGCTGTGGTTAGAGCTTTACGGCTGATAACCTATAGAAACACCCGTTAAGCTGCAACACCTGTTTTGGGCCGCGAGCTGCAAAGGTATAGTCGATATGACATCCTACATATGTGCAAGGTGAAAGTGTACATCTTATTATATGGAGTGAAAACACAGCTTTTCTTCTGGAAAGTTCGTCGTTCCCGAAGAAGCCGGCAAATCAGAAGATTTTGAGATTGCGAGACCGTCATGTTTTTGCAACAGCTATGCCGGCTCAATCCAGAGAGATGCAATTGGACTTCAAGTCCGACACTCGTCCACCAACCACTCACGTCGGCGCTGTTGGCCAAAGCAAAGCAATTGGTGGGCATTCAACTTACGCAGGATGCAACCCCGATGGAGGTCCATCCAAAGGTGCGCAATCCCAAAGTGCCCTTGAGAAACTGGCGGGTCATTCTGGACAAGATCGCCGTGATCCTGGTGCTCGCAGCGGTTCAAGACGCTGATTCTCATGAACAAATGCGACTAATTAGTGCTGGTGACCCAGTCACTTCATGACACGTGTGGTTTGATGTGACGCTGCTCTAGTAAAAGCATACTGCTTCAGTATTGTCAGTCAAAGGTGTTTTCACTTGCTTCTACTGGTGGTTCAAGTGGTGTGGTGTTTCACTCTCTTTGACGTCCGCCTTACCCTTTATTGTTCCCTTTCAGTGACTCAACACTTTGAACCCTTCACCGATATCCAGGAAGAATCCACGGCATTGTCAACGATGATGCAGTCTGGGGGCTCTGGTGTTGGTGACGGGTATGGATGTACTTTGTTGTTCAGGGCTTTGTCAGCTGTTTTGATCTGAGGGATCATTGAGATTGACAGATGCGTTGACTTTCTAGTTGAGAGTGGAGTCGGAGTATCATAACAATAACTAATTTAATACTGTCGTTGTCTTTGGTTAATTAATGTTGTTGTCATGACTGGTTTCTTTAGGACGCTGGCGTGTGCCTCATCCATTGTACATCATTGTCATTGAATTACTCTCTCAAGGTCAAAACACATGAATCAATGTTCATCAGATTTCCCAATTCCATGGTCATGCTCAAGCACCGGTGTTGTCTGAGTGCCAAAGTGCAAATCTGATGCTAATTGGCACATCCGTACCGGACATGGAGCTTTCTCGAAATGTGCGCGCGGAAGGCGCATTCTACACTGAAGGTAGCCTTGCAATGGGGGTCAGTCGACCTGGGAGGACGTCTCGGTGCGGATTGAACTCAAGTTCAGGAGGTCTATCAAACTGGTGACATGTGCGCAAGTGAATCGCTACAGCTTTTCTTCCCATTGATTCTTGAGAAGAGCGGACAAGTGAAGGTTGTCATCGGACCAGTGTCTGGGAGTCGAAGGACCTGAGTCAAGGCATCCCGCGCATTGCCCTTGGTCGGCCGATGCTGTGGTCCATGGATGCGTGTTGACCGGCGTGACCGGAAAATGATCAGGGTGCATGGCAATGGTCTGACCAGCTAGAATGGACAGTTGATGCAGGAGCGCACATCGGTGGGATTCGATCTTCTGAGACCGTTGTTGGCACAGCGGACAAACCCCCGCTCCACTGCCCAATGTTGGCTGCCCAACGAACTCGATCTCTGCACGAGTTGGAAACAACTGCAATTCAGGATGTTGCTCGGTGTAGTGTCGAGCAATGGTTCTGGCGCCAAGTTGGCTATTGCAATATGCACATCTACTGGCTAACTCTGCCCACAATGCTTTGCCAAGGAGTAGACCCTGGTACGACTGACGTCGAAGATGCATCCTGAGCTCTGGTCTGGCCGCAATGGGGTTCACTGCTCCCTTAGTGGCACAAAAATGTTTGTTGATGTGTTCTTTCAAAACACGCATGTTGGCAAAAGATCTGTGGCAATGTGAGCATGTACTAGCGATCATCATGTGAATCTCGAAGAGGTTCAAAAACATCTTCAACCAAGCAGTCATAGCCATGTTGCCGTTTTAGGTGGCGTTTTAGTGTACCCGCCTGCTGATAAGATTGATGGCATTCGGGACACTGAAGAGTGTCATGTGGGGATACCTGTAAATGAATGTCTGTGGGTGTGATTCATGCAGAGATGGGATAGTCTGGGGTCAGAACACAAATGTCATGGCTCTGGTTTGCCATGGATGACCCGCTCAAGGAGCTGCGACGGTTGCGCAGGGCCGTTTCAAGACGGGCAAAAGTGTTCTGAAGCATGATCCAAGGTGGTTCAAGTCCAAGTCTCTGAAAACAATCAGCCGTGGACTTGTGGGTTAGATGGACAGGCTCTTTGATCATGCGTCTATGGTGAACGTTGATGACACTGACCAGTTGTTTGAAGCCTTGGGTGGTTATTCCCATCTCAAAGATTGCATGGGGTAACACATTGGCGATACAATCGAAACTTCAAGTGCCTTGGAATGATGGAATCTGTGAGCCATCGTCTCAGGACATGAAAGGAATGCTGAGCAGCTGTAACACGGCGTCGAACAGTGTCAATCACGGCACGCTGTGTTCGAAACCAGTGGAAGTCTCCAGTCTCCAGTCATGGTCAGGCAGGCGCAATTTGGGCCCATCTGAGGTCCAACGGCGCAGGAACGCAGGCCAATGACCCTGCAAAGTGCTACACTCTTCTGTACGTTTATGCGGAGTCCATATGACTGCATCAAAGTTAATACGAATGAAAAATCACAGAGCGCGGTGAGACCCTCTTCAGGAGTATGGATGATCCAGCGCAGGTTGACGTCATCCGCAAAAACAATGATCGACCATCAGCAAATGCATACACAGAGACCACAAAAGCGGGGCGGCTTTTAAGCCCTGTTGGATGCCTCGATTGGCAGTCAAGGCCCCAACCAGTTCCCTGTATGGAACGTAGTATTTGTGAGGGGCGAGCCAGGTGTGGAGCATGCCAACGACTTCTGGGGGCAGGGATAAAATGTCAAGTGCTCTGAGCTGATCGAGTCAAAAGCTTTCTCCATGTCACGTGAGACCTGAAGGCCCCCAATCAAACTACGGCGATCATTTTTTGCTGGTGGGTTTGACATGCGTCACGAACAGCTCGACAGCGCGCCGAAGTCAACAACAGGCAATCGGCAGTACTTCTACCAGGGAGGCATGCGTACAATGGCAACTGGCGCAGCCTGGGAAAAGCTACGTCCATTACTTATTGAATCAAAAGGCCCAAAACAACCTTGTTGACCGGATGTTGGAGACAACTAGGGTGCAAAGCTTCCGGCTTGTTGCAAGCTTTCCCCGGCTTGGCTAACAGGTGTAGCCATCCGGCTCTGGTGGCAGGGGGTTCTCCACGCTCCAATGATCAAGTAGTGATCGGCAGAGTGGGGCAACATCCGGGGCCAGAGTCTTCCACACGATCGCAGGGAGACCATCTGGGGCAAGAGCTTTGGTTGCGGGCAAACTACGAAACCTTTCCATCAGGTCAACTGCATCAACCGGCAGGGCCTGCAAAGCCGGTCGGTTCGGGGAAACAAATTCAGAGTCCGTCAGCAGTTGATCAAAATAGTGCACAGTCTTGTTGAGTTCCAGACCAGGAGGCAGGCAGTTTGGGGCTAAGTTGCCGGATTCTATGATGCCAGTCGAATGCTTTGTGGGTCAATGCCAAATCAACACTGTCCTGAAGAAATCGTTCAAGACGTTGACGTTTGTTGTGGCGACTGGTCTGTTTGATCTGACGATGCAAGACTGCATATCGACAAATATGATGCCAACTCTGGAAAAGACCTATCAGGTCCGTGCTCTGGCATTGCTTGGCTATAATCGTCGAGCCTGCCACACGTGGGCGGCGATGGACAGGATTGGGGAGGGATCAGGTGTGGCTTTCGGTTCTCTGGGGAACCATTCACGGCACAGTTTGCGAGGTGATGTTTCCAACGCCTGACTGTCATACGTTTCAGGTGGACAAATCTGAGAAGCATGAGAATGATCTTGGACGATGGACCGTGCAGCATGTTGAAACAAGTGCCACTGGGCGGTATTGTTCAAAAAGGCATGTCTCAGCTGAAAATCTGTTGATCGGATCAAGAACCGTCCTCTTGACACGAGCTGGATGCCAACGTGGCATACACAGACCTAGGGGTCGGTGATGCGGACCAGTGATGCCAAAGTTCCTATCAAAATCTTGAATCAGTCGGGGACTCATCGAAGCATGGCGTTGGTGCTGTCGAACAAGCATGAAGTCTATCCTGGTGGCATGGTCACCGAGGACGAAAGTGGGTGCCAGGGACCACTACTACAGTGCATTGCTATGAGTTGCAAGTCCTGAATCATCGGTTGGAAGGTCTGCTTATCAGTCTGGCTAGCTCGATCGTTCTTTGGGTCGTGGGTCTGCACGAATGGTGGGCATTGTTGGAGCGAGTAAAAGAATGGTTGACTGGAATGTGATTGACACAATCCTGGAGTTTTTTCCAAACTTGAGTGCCTCGGCCCGGATTCCAGCTGTGCTGATAGATGGCCAGAAGATCATATGGTCGATGGAGAGGAAGTCTGGCCTGAACACAACGACCCGGAATATGAACGGCTGTGGAGAGGCAGTGGCGTGAAACGACATTGGTTCGAACCATGATCAAGACTGAGGCCTGTTTGTCCGAACTGTGAACGAAATGCCAGCGTTGATTGGACCTCTCCCCACTGAGTGACCAACCAGTTTCTTGAATGATGAAACAATCATACTGGCTGGCTGCAGCAAGTCTGAAAACCTTCGTGCTGCAACGAGCGTGAAGCGTTCCAGGAAAGGATCTGCAAGAATTGGTCTCGAGGTGCCTGGGATGCGCACGCAGGCGGTCGAGTGGAGGACCGTGCAGGCACCAAGCTTGACGAAGCCGCCATGGTACATCAGTGGGGTACAATGGCTTGCCCTTATACGTTGCAGCACTGTCGGATAGGCTTCGGTAGCACGCTCTTTGGAAAGCTCTCCTGACACGTTTGATGCGTTATTTGGACGTCACTGGACCGAGGCCCGCCTTTGCCCAAGCCTCATGCTGCTTCACGGCCGAGGATGCAAGAAACTGCATGGGATGGCCGTTCTCGACCCTTCGAGAGGCTGGAGAATCAACCCTCACGCCCGGTGCCACCATCCAAGATCGAAGTTGGCGATGTGTCCAGGCGGCACCGCCCGGAATTGGGACCGGGCCCTCCAGCTGGGTCGTCAAAATAAAAGTAAGGCTAAGAAAATGTCGAAGCATGCACGGGGTGCACAAAAGAAATCTACAGGCAAAGAAGGTCAGGACGAAATGGCAGGCTCCCCGGGCTACAACGCGGCCGTTTGAGCTGGAGTGGCGCTTCAAAATTGGATATCCAATTCAATATTGTTCTTCCTTCAATCAATGGGTAAAGGGAATTATTACATAACAATATCAATCAATAATCAAAAAAACATATATGAATCGGCAGGACTCTGAAATCGAAATGGAATAGACATGGTTCCGCAAACAGTTCACAACATGCACTAAATGGAATCAAGTCTTCAAAAGCAAAACCCAACTGTGCAGGGGCTCAAAAAAGGTCTTAGCTCGAGTCGCGAGTGCAGAACCGATTTGACATGTCAGCCCTGTGCATGCTCTAAGGCCATAGTTTCTAGCAGTCCTAGCAGCAGCTTATTGCAAACCACACATTGTGACGTGCAATTAAACTATATAACTGGCTCGGCTTTATTGATATCACACTCATTGATTCATTTTGCCACATCCAATTGATACGAGTGGTACAAAAAATTGGCACCACGTGGATTCGTGCGGGCCGCACACAACCCCAAAAGGATAAATGGCATTCAGCTCCAAAACGTGTTCATTTTCTGAACATGTGCGTTTGGATCTGTTGAGATCAAGATGGCAGCATTCGCCTTGCGCAATTCAATTTTTAACAGCGACGTAGTTTGAGTTTTCTCCTGCCTTGGAAACACGGGGTGGCTGTCACCTGATCAAAGCTTGGGCCACTACTCACAGGCCGAAATTGAGAATGAAAATTGGACCTGGCACTGAAAGACATTGCAAGAGCGGCACTTCGACTCTCAACATCACCTAGCACTCAGGGCTTGCCTCAATGTGACTCATGTCTCCAGCGCCAACTCCGCAAGCTGCAGTGCCAAGTCAGCATCCGCACAGGTGAGGAAGACCACCGCCAACTGCCAAACACATGGGTAGAACACATGGCCAAAGGAGCCAGTTTTAAAACTCCAAATTTGCCATGCTAATTCCATAAACTCGTGCGGAACATCGGAATTCTTTTTGGCATTCCATTTCAGTCAGCATAGCTTTGCATCGATTCTTCCGCCTTCAACAAACGCAGTGCAAAAAAACAGCCTTGAAAAACAAACACTTTTGTAGATATATATATATATAGCTATATACATGCTGTCAATCTAGCAAAGCCTCAATTGGTGACACATTCCCTCTGGGCAGGCTGCTTTGACCTCGAGGGTCTATGGTCATGCAACAAGGTTTCACTTGCTTACTCCTCCTCGGGTGTCCAGTATTTATGGTCACCTGAGTAATTGAAACACTTGGGATCGCGCGTAAGAAAGCTTAATTGGATGTGCCTTCTGAAGCGCTGCACTTTGTTCACGTTCACCATGGCGGTGTAGTCATGAGGCACAGTCACAACAAAGCCAGGGAACATTATTGGTGCAATTTTGTAAGACTTGCCGTTGTATGTGATTGTCAATGTATCGAAGGTATCACCTGTCACTGTGAGAACTTCCCCATCATCAGCGGTCCATTGACCGACCCAATGCATTGCCTTTTCTCCGGCGTCCCACTCCCGAATCCTGGGCTTCCAATTCCGATGCTTGATCTCAATTGCTCCTTCCGTAGGATCTGCCTTTACTGGGCCGACATACCAATTCCAGTCATGCAAGCCAGCCGAGTAGCCTAGAACACTGCCATCTGGCCGCTTGACCAAGAAAGCCGTTCCTGGCCCCAATGGGGGCTTCACATTCAGCTCATACTGGTACTTGGAGCGGATGTAGTCAAAGGGCCCATGGCCTTCGTGATCAAGCCAAAGCCCTCCTTCTGGTGTCTTCTTGAATTGGGAGTTGATGGTGCCATCGGAATACTCACCTAGCCATTCATCATACTCAGCCGTTGCATCATCCTCCGCCTCTCGTGATGGTGTTATTCGGTTGAAAAGAAAGGCACTGAAACGAGTGATGAAATCCTGGTACGAGATGAAGAAGCAGCCATCATCCTCAGCCTTGAAACTCACAGCTTCGGCAACCTCAGGATGCTCTGCCCAAAGGGGCGACTTGTCAGACCAGTCCCCATGCCATTCACCAAAGCCCCAAGGATTTTGCATCTTCACCAGTTGGATGTCCCCGACAGTATACATACCACCAATGGCATATGCATGGTGATCAACTATCCCTTCGCCACCATGACCACCACAGGTCACAACCGTGCCGGGTTCCTTGATGAGGAAATCAATCAGCTCACAGAAGCACAAGTCCTTGGACTTGGGCGGATAGACTGACAAGGTATGGCCACCGAAGAGTAAGCTAATGATATCCATCCCGGTCTTGTACTCAAGCCCTGCGTCATAGCGTCCCCCATGGCCATCAAGTAACATGTACTCAGTGTCGGAGAGCTTTGCCGTCAACTTCTCCAACAAACTCACCCAAATGGTGCCATGCGCAGGGTAAGCCCCCTCAGGCTGGCCAGGGCAGCCTGGCACAAGGTCATCGATCACTATCCAGCCGACACGACCGTGATAAGTCACCTTGAAGGTATAAAGGCCGTTTGGATCCAGCTTGCCGCCCTGCACATTCGAGAAGACCTCCTTCATGCGCTCAGGATACATTGACATTGCAGCGAAAGAAGCCATGAACTCACAGTCTCCCAGTGACACTTGTTTCACGTGGTGGAGCTGCGGCCCCTCTTCAGGCCACACACATTCTGCCTTCGGGTCATCGGCCAAACGGTAAGCATCGTGCAGCGCTGACTTCAGTTCCTGATACTCCGGATCCACAAACTTTTCAGATCCAAGCTTTGCACGAATTTGCTCAGTAGGATCCTGGGCAAAAAGGAAGTTGTACGGACCGAAGCGCTCACCCAAGGTGGGCCAAAGCTGCCACAAGCAATCTGGAATTTTGGGCATGTTGCCGCAGGAGTGTGGATGCTCAACTTTCTGCGCAGCCGAAATGAAGGCCTTGCGCTGCTCTTGATCAAGGTTTTGAAGGCATTCCTTGAGCTCTTGGACAGAGGAAGTCACCAAGCTTTCTTTCAGCTTTGAAGCACCAGAACCCATGGCGTACCACTGTGGGATCTACTTGTAAGAAGCTAGGCAGGGCTGGGCCCAAAGAGTGTGCAACCAGTGGTCTGAGTCCACGCAACAAAATCTCAGAGCCTAGGCCTAACCTGTGTTCTTTCTCAATTTGTTCCCCCTCAAAGTGTCACAAGCCCAGCTGAGACCTTCTACCGCGCCTCCCCTTGACGGCTTCGCTTGGCGCAGCTCAGCTGATTGCTTAGAGTGGCTTTGTCCCAGAGCTCATCTTTCACCTGAACTCCAGCGGCAGCAATTCCGAACTACGGCGTGTTCTGCCACAACACCTGTCATGGACACTTTCCCAACCAAGACCCATCAAAATATCTTTAAACAACATGTCCACCTCAGTGTTTCGCAATGAGAAACTTTTTCAAACACTTCATCTGGTCTGTGGTTGTCTGCAGTTCTCGTTTAGGCCCTCTGGCAGGAATGAACCTGCCAAGGCCACGAAGGGCTCGACTCTACTCAGGTCCATTTTCTTGCAAGCTACCTACTAGCCATAACCTCCCTAAGGGCGATTGCCTCCGACCTGCTGGCTCGTTTATATAATTTCCAACCCCCTGTGTGAAAGCTTGAATCCAGCGGCCGCCAAACTCTTCTGCATCATTATGTCATCATGAGTCGCTTGATGTCACTAGTAGTCATTGCACATCTGAAAGACAAATGCAAGAAGAAAACATGATTACAAAAAATTGTACCTAAGTTATGTAAGGCCCCTCTTTCATTTTTGTTCCCTTCTGCTTAATGTCGCCAAAACCCGCCGCTGCAGTCTCGCTGCATGAAGCGCTGCTGCTGCAGCCGATGCTGCAGAGGCTGCCTGACCAAACGAGCGCTCCGAATCTCGCAGGGCAGGGTGGTTGGCCAGGCACACCTTGGCGGCAACACTTGCATCTGCATGGCTCTGAAAGTAACAGTCTGATTGCCAAGATGCATCTGTCAAATGCATGGCACGCATTTCATCTGCTCCCAAAGACGCAACCAGGGAGTCCTCAAGGGTGTTGACACTCCAGTTCTACAACTCCACTGATTTCACACTTGCAATCATATTTTTCTTACTATCACACGCCACCCTCCTGGGCGGCCTCGACTTCAGCACTCTCCACGCTCATAATTGGCTTTGAGATCTGTATGGGCGACATGCATGCTCTGAACATAGGCCGGCGCACCTCTGAACAAAAAGCTTCCCACATGTGCTTGCATTCCACTGGCCTGAACCTTTGAGACACGTGGTTGACACCAGCTTGAACGAAAGCTCTGTGTTTTCCAACAATCATAGGAGCGATAGAAACTTACCATCAACCCCCTACGGGTGTGAAGTGGTTGAGTTCCACTAGGAAAGATGGTAGATCAAATGTGCTGGAGAAATCCGATGTTTCTGCTGCTGGTGAAGAGTCCTGTGCATTCGCACAGCTCTTGAAGTAGTACATGTATGAAGCGGTGAAGGGATGTGAAGGGTGTTAACTTGAGGGTTAATCGGTCTTTATACTGGAGGTGACATGGTGGTGGCTTTGGCATGTTTTGGCAGTGAAATGGTACGGCACCATGGATGAAGATTCCACGACAAGTGAGGAGATAGTTAATAGACATATGCGTATATATATATATACAACGTTTTCTGGGCCGAATGGTGGTTGAGGACCGGCAAAATGGTGCTTGTGGTCTGAAGTGGACACTTCAACTGCCGGCGCAGTCGTTTTTTTGCCGCTGTTTTTTTGACTGTTGATGAAAGAATGCTTTCAGGTTGCACGGTCCAACCAAACGGATGAGGGTAGACTTAAGCCCGGCGATGGGAGGGAAAAACTAGGCGTCAGGCCCACAAGCAACCCTCGCAAACCCTTTAAAAAGCGGCTCCAGAATACTACACTTGGCAAGGGCTAGCGGCTAGCAGCTCGCTCTAGTGACTTGTCGGCTGGCGCCTCGGAAAACAAATCCTTCATGACACTGCCTCAGTTGGCCACGGAGCAACACACAGCATTTGCGACATCAGCAAAAATACCTGGATGTGACAAAAAGAATCACAAACCACCTCAAGCACCAAATACAAAACAAGGCACTGTCAATCCAAATGTCCTAAAAGCCAAACAACACCTGCACCTTGTCCAATAGTATAATAGTATATACAGTAATTAATTAGTAGCAAAACTCCTTGATATGAGGACCGTATTTAGTTTTTCCTCTCTTGATCCTCTTTATTTTCTCTTGCTAAAGACCTGCTTCATGCCAAATCACTGGGGCTTTGCCTTCCGCCCTTGAGGAGCCATGCGCATGCCGCTTCTCTCTCTGCTGAAGGCCACCAGGCTGGTGCCGTACCATCAGCAGCTGGAGCAGACCTGCCAATATGCGTTCTCCAAGTTCTTCATGTCCAAACGGTAGAGAGAGGGCCGTTAAAACTCGCAAAATGCTCGAACGTTTATCATATTCATATGACGCCAAGAATCTCAAGCCATTTCATCAAAGCTGGAAGGTCTGCCAGCATTCTCGAGGTAGCTTGTGGCGGGGCTTTGCAAATCAGTTTTGTGCCGCGCAGGATGTCACCCTTATCAGGCAGGGCAATAACATCCATCATGGAGGTTGTGTTGACTGCAAGCTTGCATCATACGAGGCAATCTATCAAACAAAAGGTGTTCCTGCCAAAACGTTAGCTGATAGCGCTTTGTTGAACCAAGCTGCAACTGTAAGTGGCCCCGAGTACTTTGACCAAAGAAAGGTTTTTGCAGGTGCATTCAGCGCAATACCTGGCCCCGTAGCAACTGCACGAACAACACTGCGGCATAGCACGATTGCAGTTGCAGAAAAAATGCACCACCACCGATCCCAAACGGCAAAACTGACGTTACAATTCCAAACAAACATGTGTTTCCAAAAGTTACATACCTTGAACCACTTTCGAACATATTTCCCCAGATAGCGAAGCTATGGGGCTCTTACTTCAAATAACAATGAGTTGCCCGTGCGCGCTTTCGAGACAGGTTGCTGGTGCTGGTGCTGTGAGCTTGCGCGTGTGGAGACAAGTTGCTGGTGCTGGGTGCTGGTGCTGTGGGCTGGCTGTGCACGTGGTGGAGACAGGTTGCTGGTGCCGGTGCTGGTTCTGGGTGCGTGGTGCCGGTGCTGGAGCTGGCTGTGCACGTGGTGGAGACAGGTTGCTGGTGCTGGTGCTGTGAGCTGGCTGTGCCGGGTGGCGGTGCCGGTGCTGCACGTGGTGGAGGCTGGTGCTGGTGCCGGGTGCCCGTGCTGGGTGCTGCTGTGGAGGTGCCGTAAGCTGGCTGTGCAGGCTGCGTACATCTTGTTCCAGCCAGTCGCATAGGTCGTGGGATTCTGCCTAGCTATCTGGGTCTATGCTGGTGTAATTTTATATATGTACTTTGACCAAAGCACGCCCGCTTTCAAAATCGCAAAAGTGCATTTGCAATATGTTTTCTCGAATGCATGTGTTGCACATTTTCCGAAAATATATACAAATTTGATCATATTTGTTGTTTAACGATGCCACAAAATATCTGTGTGCAACTCGGCAATAGAGTTTCCAACGATGCAACTTCGCAAATTTCAAAGCACATTATCGCGCACTATGAGAAATGCGCGTGCGAATCCCGAGGGAGGGGGCATGTGTTTTCAGACGTACGCCATCACATTTCTGCGGGCATAAACCTGCCCTTTCGCAAGCATGCCATTGTTTCCGTCAGACCTGAGGAGGAACCAGTAGAATCGAGTACGCAGGTCCTGGTTGCAAGGTGAAGTTCAATAGGCTGTGCGTGAACAAAACTACTTTACTTGACACTTCGTGACGGCCTTCTTCTGGCTCAGTGATGGTCTGTCTGGCAGCATGCATCCGAATGACCCACCCCACGTCTCCACAAAAAAAACAAGAGGCAACACACGAACCCGAATGCAGCGCGCACCCAACTCGAAAACAAACGCCTAAACAATTTTGACACTGTTGTAGGAGACACTCTTCTAGAACGCTCTTGTGGGACACTCTCGCGCGACATTTTCGTCACTCTGTGGGACACTCTTGCGGGACACTCTTGTGGGACCCTCTCGTGGGACACTCGCGTATCCAGATGTAATTTGGCCACATAAGTTGATAGTTCCGAGCCACAGTTCCCAGAAACTGCTTCCCGAACTACATGTGTACGACAAAGCTGCCAGTTCTACAGCTCCGAGAAGCTGAGCAGACTGATGCTTAAAACAATCAACATTAGTTAGCCGAGGAGAAAATCAATATATATATATATATATCGTGGATCCCGGTCTCGTCGGAAGGGGTGTGTGTTTCTTTACCGTAGTCAGGCCGGGAGGTTTGAATTTGGCATGATTCGAGGGTATGATTCGGTGTATGATCCGGGGGTGTGGTTCGAGGGTATGATTCGCAGCTTTGAAATTGTATTGTTGGATTGGCTGGACTTCCATCAGTGGGCTCACATCTGTGCCGTGAGGCAGTAGGCAAGGCAGTATCTGTTGCTTGCTGGGCAGGTTAGGCGGATGCACTCTTCTACCAAAGTCCCCGGACCCCAAGCCTCATCAAAGGCAACCCTTTTGACTACAGTGCGCACCAATGGCCCTCTGCAGGCCCAACCAGGGATGTGGGATCGGTGGGAGATCTGTGGAGGCGTGCGATTCGGGTATGAACCAGGTATGAATAAATTGTGCCAAGGAAGGCGATCCTTTGGCTCTTCTCCCCAAGACAGAGCACATGGGAACATTGGTGTGGGGTGTGAGCCTTCGCTGTTCCCACAAGAAGCCAAACAGTTTTGGCCAAATCAGCAAGCACATGCAACAAAATACAAACAATTATGCTGTGGAGTTTCCAAGGCTGCGAAAGTGGAGAGGTACATGCACGCGTGCATCCCGAGGGTGGGGGCATGTGTTTTCAGAAGTACGCCATGACATTTCCGCGGGCATAGACCTGCCCTTTCGCAAGCATGCCATTGTTTCCGTCAGACCTGAGGAGGAACCAGTAGAATCGAGTGCGCAGGTCCCGGTTGCAAGGCGACGCCAGTCTTTTCTGGCTCAGTGATGGTCTGTCTGGCAGCACGCATCCAAATGAACCACCCCAGGCCCCCACCAAAAAAAAAAGAGGCAACCCGCGAACCCAACTGCAAACACGTACTCAACTCGAAAGCGAACGCCCAAATATTTTTGACACTCTCGTAGGAGACACTCTTCTAGAACGCTCTTGTGGGACACTCTCGTGCGACATTTTCGTCACTCTGTGGGACACTCTTGTAGGACGCTCTTCTGCACTCTTGTGCGACACTCTTGCGGGGCGTTCTTGTGGGACCCTCTCGTGTGTCACGTATGACACTCACGGATCCAGATGTGATTTTGCCACATAAGTTGACAGTTCTGACGCCACAGTTCCCAAAAGCGGCTTCCCGTACTACATCTGTACTACACAGTGCCAATTCTACAGTTCCCATTGATCCTCAAAACAACCAACATTAGCTGGAATGGTTATCCAGTAGGTGAATAGTTGATTGGTTGATATTCAAAACTTGTTCCTTCTGCCACCCCCTTCTCAGCAGCTGATGCTTCCATAGGGTGGATCTTCACTTGACATTGGTACAATGATGTCAATGTAGCTCAAGTACTGACAAGATGACAAGTGAAGAATGTTGATTTCCCTCATTGGGTCTAAACAAGCCAAGTAGCCCCTTGGATGTGTTCTTTCATGTTCTTTCGGTAGGGTAGGCAACAGTTGCTGGGGAAGGATGTTCATCACATGTTCTGCCACCAACATCCGGATAGGACTGTGAGTCACCGAGTCGATATTAATGGAATTGGACTGTGCGGGCAACCCGTTCTGCTATTTCACCGCCGGCCGGCCAGCCGGCTAGTACGCAATCGGCCGGCCGGCTGGCTAGTACGCGATCGGCTGGCCAGCCGGCTAGTATGCGATCGGCCGGCCGGCTGGCTGGCGGGCGATGTATATCGTTGCTGCGATAGCTGCTAGTGCCTATAGTTAGTTGACTGGGCGGGCGGCCGGCCATTCGGTTATTCGGCCAGTCTAGCAAACGTAGATGGGTAGTGGAAGTCGTCGTACTGGTGGTAGTAGTAGTAGCAGCAGCAGGCCATCCGACGGCGTGGTTATTGGCCCGCCGGCCGGCCGACGCCGTGGTTTTTGGCCGGCCGGCTGGCTGGCTGATCGAGAAATAGCAGGTCGCGACAAGCTCGCAATGAAACATTTGCATAAATCCAAGCGCATGCTTGAATCAACAAAGCCATGTCACTCCTGGAAAAAGATTCTACTGATGGCTGCGGCGGGACCAGGTCCGACCCGGGCATCACTTTGTAGTGGGCTCAGTGAAAGGGAGCCTGTGGCAATAAAAAACAAAATCAATGCAACATGTAAACTCTTCAACTTCAACTGAAGATTGAAAAGTCATCAGAATGTCAACACCTCTGCGAAGCATCCTCCATCTATGCTTCGGGCCACTTGCCCCGCAATCCTGACTGAAGTCCGGTAGTCATCCATGGCAGCGCCTGCGGAAGCAAAGTGGCAGCCAAGCTGCACCATCACCAGCTGCACCGAATCCTCTTTAATCAGCTTCAATCACAGGATCATTTCCGGGGAGTCTGGACTAAGTGCTTGTCTGAAATCAACCGTCAAGCCAGGGACTGCTCTAAAAAGTATCTGGAGCGCGCAGGCGCTGCCATGAGGGCAGGATGACTACCGGACTTCAGTCTGGATTGTTGGGCAAGTGGCACGAAACATAGTGGAGGACACTTAGGTGATGAAATCTGGATGACTGTTAATTCAACAGCCAGTAAATTGAACCTCCCACAACCTGCACCTTTAACTCAGCCAACTACCAAGGGATGCTGGCAGTCAGAACTAGTTCCAGTAGAATCTTGTTTCGGGAGTGACATGGCTTTGTTGATTCATGCATGTGCTTGGATTTATGACAATCTTTTTATATATTATCGACTCAGCTACTCAGTCCTATCCGGACTTCGGCCGTAGAGCATTTCATGAACAGCCTTTTCAAGCAACTGTTGCCTACTCTACGGATTTGAAAGGACATTAAAGAACACATCCAGGGGGGCTACTTGGCTTGCTTAGACCAAACGAGGGACATCAACATCCTTCACTTGTCATCTTGCCAGTACTTGAGCTACAATGACATCATTGTACCAATGACATTCAATGTCAAGTGAAGATCCACCCTATGGAAGCAACAGCTGCTGAGAAGGAGGTGGCAGAAGGAACAAGGTAAGTTCAAAGGGAAATCGGTATCTTTTGAAAATCGACTCTTCAACTACTGGGTAACCATCCCAGTTAGTTAGTCGAGGAAAAAATTGCTTTACTTGAGCGGGGAAACACGAAAGGTAGAGACGGACCGGGTAGCTGTCGGAACCTTTTCTGGTGAGGGACTGTCTCCGGTGTTTCAGGAACGTGCCCCTTGGTCAGTCATGGCTGAAACCAACAAAGCCAGAGAGAGCACAAGAAGGCTCAAGAGGAACACCGTTGCGGTCAGATTGCGCCACACGGCTCTGCAGAGAGGCTGCGTTGCGTCGACGCTCGTTTGTGTAAAGGTGTGTGAAAACAGGCTAAAAGTCGCAATGCGTAAACGCTCGCATGTGCACCAGCTATGGTCCCACAGCTGCACGCACTGTGTCAGGATTACAGGCCTGCACGCGTTGCGTCGAAGCCGCAGTGACCAACCCCGTGTAAGGATAGTGCTGGAGGGGTGCGGCCGGTATTGCCAACGCTATGGTGGGTGTGGTCCACGAT